CAGCAGTGTCCGTGACTTCCGCATCAACAATCTTTTACTGGTTTTAAGTGTCTTTCAAACAATCCAAGTTATTTGTTTATCCTTCTATTTCCTGTCTGAGCATTTTAGGAAGAAATCAGTTTTCTAAACTAATTTATATGCACTAAATACTAACACTGTTTCAGTAATCCAAGTATTACACACAGTTACAACGGCCTGTCACTATCCTCACCAAAAGAATTTGCCTGTTCATAGTTCACATCGCAGTGGCACTAAGGGGGCAGGACACCATGTGAGCCCCATTTCCCAGCCATTCCCTTCAGTCCAAAGACAGTTTAAGCATGTTCCATCACAATGTTGTCATCAACAAGAATCTTCCTTTCTCTTTTTCTCCCACAGCCAATTAAAAAGCATTATTTTTGACCCAAGTTTAACATACTCTAGAACAGTGTGGTTACCCAATGTCCAAGAATATGAACTCCCCCAAACCACAGTGTGCCTTCTTTCTAACCCACATCCAGAACACGTGCACTCAGAGTCACGAGGCTGACGCCCTCCAAAACATGTCCTAATCTTCTTGTCCAATAACAAAACACCACAGAAGAAGGTTTGCCAAAATAAAAATGGGAATATTTATTATCTTTTCTACTAAAGCAATGCAGATCTTTTGAGATTATACATTGGTCTTTGCAAATGTTTCTACAACTAAATTCATACCTTTCAATTTTGTAAAAAAATTAGACACATACTTCATAAAAAAAAAAAGACACAGGGTATGTCACTGAACAATTGGATAATATTGTAATTGTTAGTAGGGATGAGCAAAGAAAGCTCATGCTTATACTTATACTCTGGCATTTGCATCATTACCATATATTCAAGTGGGACAAAACGTGTACATTTTCCTTGCATATTTCTAGGTCCACTTCCCAAGCTTTTAGAAATCAGATAAACTGTTAAATATTGGATTTGACCAAGAGAACCTAAACATTATTTAGCAGTACTACATGCACAAGATGCAAGGGAAGGAAGAAAATGAGACCCGTGCATACAGTACAAGACAAACTGTTACAATTGTCAAACGTGCGCTGGACAAGACTTAAAATTTTGTTTCTGAAAAGTTTTATTTGTTGTCAAGAAAACAGTTTCAGAAGCACATAATTGTATGTATTTTGCAAAGTCATCTTCTTCACTTGGCCTCCTGAACTTTCTTGGCATTCTGTTTTTCTTTCGCCTAGAACACAAAGGGAGATGGTGTTAAGCTCTGATAAGACAAAGATCATTTTGGAGCTTTGAATGACTACTCATCACACTTTTGAACAGTCAACAAAAAATGCTGCCGAAAGAGGTATTTTAAATATAAATTTAGACCCTTTAGAAGTATCCTACTACTATTTTACTAGGTTTATATATAAAGCCTTTTAAGATTACATATTGGGTTAACTATATCATATGAAGGAAACCATAAAATTAGGTAACTTCCAGAGGTGAAAAAAAGCACTATTTTAAAACACAACCTTCATTTTTCATACCTTGATATTCATTTCATTTAACACAGAAATTACTCTTCCTAATGAAAACAGTTGATGTCATAAGACAACACTGCATTCGGATACAGTGATTATCACAAATTAAACTCTGAGGCAACCAAGAACTTGGTTTTTTAGATCTTTCAAGGGAGAAGAATGGAAAAAAAAACCCCCTACAAGTTCCTATAAAGATACTTGCAAACAGATTCTCATCTAACTTGTATCAACTGATAGATAGTTCAGACTGACAAGGAATTTTCTTCCTTATGAACTTAGCAAAAAAAGTTAAGGCAGGAAGAGGGAACAACCCTGATGCAATATTAGCCATCTTCCTGTAAAAACATTTGTTCATTTTGAATCGGGCTCCTGCTTGTTACCACTTCTTATTGAACAGAATTGGATCTAATTCAGTGATCTAGAGTGAAGATCTGTTACCACCAGCCACTCGGGTCCACTGGAAATTTACTTGTAAAAAGAAGCATGATGGTATTACAGATAACTCCTATTAACGTGGAACTGGATTAAAACTCCACAAGTTACCCAAAGAAGGAAACGACTAAAAAACGAATCCAGAAGTTACTGTCTTAGAAACTACTGGCCAGGAAACATGCTTTCCTAAGTAAATTCAGCTAAAGAATGGCTCTTTAAATAATATTTATCTATTCTTTTCATTATAACAATAGTGAAATCCTTGTCACTGTGAACTCAAAATTATGGATACTGTCTATTGCACAGGAGCAGATACACAAGCCAACACTGATCTTACTACAACTCAAGTACTTGACAAGCCAGACAGTTTAGTAAACCTTGCCAAAGTGACAGACACATTTTTGACAAACAAGCTTGAATAGTAAATGTTAATAATCAGACACCTTAAGAAGGGCAAAACAATGAGCCAGTAAATCAGTGTAAGAACAGGGAAATAGGGAGAACAAATTTCAATAGGGAGAACAAATTTCAATTACCAGAACCTCTGTAACAATGAGCCAGTAAATCAGTGTAAGAACAGGCAAATAGGGAGAACAAATTTCATTAGGGAGAACAAATTTGAATTACCAGAACCTCTGTGTTGTTGCCATCTAGTGTTGAGAGCTAAATAAATCAACAAAAAGGAGTACTGACCATCCAGGATAGCAGAAGAGGTGTCTTGTACAGCCACGTGAATTCAAACAAAGTTCAGTTCAAAGAGGGATATCAAGTTAGTACGGGGAACTCTTCCACATACTAACTGGACCTTCACAACACAATTTTAATAGGACATAATTTCCTTGTGTAGAAAAGCCCAAATTGTGTCCCTTCTATTGCAGAATCCTGTGCCCTGTAATGTATATCCTCCTATACCACCACTAGAAAAATTTTTTTAGGTTATCAGAGAGGAGACAGAATTTGCCTTTGCATAATAGTGCCAAGTCAGTTCACCCCACAATGTCCAAGTTTCATTTGAATTGTGCCTCGTGAGAAGGGATGACCAGGTAAACTAGCAATGTCTGAATGTAGTGGTTTAAATAAATAAATCCATGCCATTTATGCCTCCAAGATAATTTGACCACATTTTTATTTTTAAATTACAATGTCATACACATTTCTTAAACATCAGCTAAGAAATACTCACTTTTTCTACTAATGGTATTAACTGTTGGTGCTCTGCTAGAGTCTTTAATAATTCCATAATGAAAGGCAGGTAGTTATGTTTTCTTCTAATATTTTCAATCTAAAAATAAATTAAAAGCATTAACAGAATTATTATATGGCTAAACAGCGATTTTTCCCATACCCATCATTGCATCTTCCCCCTCTGCCCCAAGAGCTGGAGTTCTTTTTTAAATTTGAGGCACCTAGAAATAAAGTTGAAGCAATCAAATTCTGAGAATGTGCTGAAAAAAAAAAGTCAGACAAATGTACTGCTTACAGCACAAATTGTCCTTACAGTCTGAAAACCCCTCAAAGATTAAGTAGGTTATATAGTTTAACCCATGTGGCAATACTGACAAGTACTGTTACCCAAAAGTATTCAGTCTTTTTGTCCTCTCAACTCAAATTGCAGTTCGACCTAGATATTTTTACAGTCCGTTATGTGGTTGTGGCCTCAGCCTAGGCTGAGGACTTAAACATTTCTGTAATGCAAAAGCACAGCTATTTTTGTTATGCTAATCACATCACAGCTTCGACAGTGGTTTAATCCTTGAGAAAGGCACGAAATGGTTTTTCAGCTGAGAGGAACGGCCACCCTACACCCCAAGCAGATACCCTAACATAAAAAAAATGTGGACTTCAAAATAGTTTCCACAATATTTCCACATATGATTAGGAACTTGAAGGTTTTTTATCCGCCAATTTCATTTGTTTGTTTAGTACTTGGTAAACCACGAGTTACGTGGTACTGCTTTAGAGACAGGTAACAGTAACACTTTACAACTGAACACACGTACTCTAGAAATATAGTTGAAATTCTCATTAGAATTATTAAATCTTGGTCTGTACCTTCTAGAAACTATTGAAAATATTTCATTCATGTCTTTATCCGTTCATATATCCAACTTTTGTTTTTAAATTTACTTTTAATCTAGACATTTTCTATGCCCTCCCAAATAAATTAAGAGATTAAGAAAAAAAACCTGGTTGCTTAGTTTCTTACTCCCCTCAAAATATTCCTTTAAAAGTATTAGGGGTTTATCAAAAAAGTTGCAAGTGATGATCTCGGAGAAACTTTTCTGTATCTTATTTTCATTAATACCACATGTCATTTCAGAAAATGATTTGCTTTCAGTGCACACACAAAGTACTTAATTAGGAAAAGGCAGAACATGCCAATTGCGTCTTCACTGCTCCCCACAGAGGACAAACAGGTAAACTACAACAATTAAACAATTCTAGCAGGCTAGGAGAGCTTCCTCACTAAAAGCTGTGCAAGTACCTTCATGTCAGATTAGTAGATGTATGTGTAAACACAGAGTGAATCTATACATAAAGTTCACAGCTTTCATCACCAACTGATGCATCAACATTCTCCACTCCTGACGAGAGCTGGAAAAGCTTATACGAGCGCTCTGCAGAAACAGGAGTTACAACTAACAAGGCAAAGTCTTTCAGTAAAAACAAATAAAAAGCCTTATTTAGAGGCCACTGTTACCTATAGTAGTGTAACTAGCTGTATCGGGTTGGCCTGGCTGGATTTTGGAGGCAGCAGG